GTGGCCCTGTTGCTGGTGTTGTCTTGCGCTTTTCTGCTCTGCAGCCTTGCTGCTCATCCGCTGGTCGTGCCTTTCATGCCTTTTGCTTGTGCACCTTGTAGTTTGCTTGCCTTGTCGGTGTTGCCTTGTGCTCCACTGCATGGTTGCGTTGCTGCTCAACCGCTAGCCTTGTCGTTCCCTGCTGTGTGGTTGCCCTGTTGGTGTTCCCTTGTGCTTCAGGGCGGCGTGGTTGCTGCACTGCTTGTCCTACGTGCCGTGTCATTCCTTGCAGTCGTTTTTGGCGTAGTGCAGCTGTGTTGCCTCTACTGCGTCCTGGTGGTCCGCAGGGTTGTTGCCCGCTGCTGTGTTCCATTTCGGGGACAGTCTGCCTTCAACATGGGTCAAAAGGTTCATGACCCAACCCATCCAATACGAAGACTCATTGTCGAGGGTTCAGCCTCCTGATGAGTCGGTGCAACTCCGACGACACAATCTCTCATCATCGGTTTTTATTTTTTTCGGTCTTTGAAACTTTTATTGACTTGTACTTTTTTCTGATCCATCTACCTTGTGTGCTTGTTCGTCGTCTGCCGTCCTATATCCCTCGTGCCTTCCAGCCCTTGTTCATTTTTTTGTTGCCTACCGTGTCTGCTGCTTGTGTGTTGTAAGCCCTCCCTCCTCCCCCATGCCCTCCAGCCTGTGTTATCTTGCTGTTTGTAGCCTGTGTGTTTCGTTGTTGTCCCTTCCTTGCCTTTGGACTCGACTCCACTCAGACGTGTATCCTCCTCCTAAAGTGTTGCGATGGTATGGTGCATGGTTTTTACTGTGCAGAGGTGTCCGCAATATGTGTTCACACACATCATCACACACGCAACCACGTGCACACGCGCACACACATGCACACGCACACACCACGCACACGCACACCCACACCCACACCCACACACACAGGGAAAAGGGCTTTGAGTTCCCCCTCATAATGAATGTGCGTTGACCTGGGCGGCCTGACATAGAGAACCTGTATGACTTATCGAAGGGGCAGAGGTAACCGAGCCGATTCAACAACAAAAATTCAGGTGGAGATAATGAGGAGATGGCAGGCGCTGAAGCCTCCGCTAGAGCTCTTTCGGACAAACAGAGTCATCAGGCGGGCCATTACCTCCTTCAGTGAAGAATGGCTGTGGGGAGCTGGAGGAGGATGGATAGCCAGAGTAGAGTGGGGTGGAGACAAGGAAGATGGGCAGCAACGAGCGATGGCAAGAGTGTAGCGACTACCGCCTGTTCTTCAATGATTGGACAACAATAGAGCCTTCATTTTCCCACCACAACCCGCACTTAATGGAACTGGTTGCTCAGACAGTTGCAGGACATGGACTTCTTTGTTGATCTGGATCAGCTTGAGGAGCACAGAAATGCACATGTGGTATATAGCCCATATAAATTTCAAATTCCACTATGAGCTCACCCTCGCTGCTCACCCTGCTCCCGCTTCCGTCCCGCTTCTGATGCTTTCATTCCTGTTGCTTTTTTGCCTCGATTTGCTGCGCCGAACCTGCTCCTCACATACACTTTCGTCAGGCTTTGCCAATCAGAGTTTGCCTTGGTAGCCCCATTGCCGCATGCCGCATGCCTCGTCTCCTTTGCCATAGTGTACGCCGCACTTGTGCTTACCATAGCGTTCTGCCTCGCAGCTGTCGGAATAGGGCTCTCTCCAACTCACACTTCTCGGAGCCGAGCAACAACCACTAGAGGGTTATGATGGGTTCCACAATGGAGTATCACTCGATCAGCAGGCTCATTCTAGCAGCAAACACTCAGTGATTGGAGGACTGTGCGATCTTGGACATGCCTGAGCCTACCACGGTGGAGGTGGAGAATAATGAGAGAGAGGTGTCTGAAGATTTGTCTACGTGCACGTTTCTTGCTTTCTTAGCTCTTTTCACCTTCCTTGCCCTCCTTTTCTTCCTTCCTGCTCTGCCTTAACCTAACCCCTCCTTCCCCTCCTCCGGAACCTGTCTTCCCCCTGCCTTCACTATGGATTCTCCCCCTGCCCCTTCTTCCTCTTCCTCTTTCCCTTTGCCTCCTACTCCTCCCCCTCCTTTTTATTCTTCTTCTGGCCCGGTTTCCGCAGATACAACACCTGATGACTACAACGACAAGCTGAAGAGGGCGATGGATGGCAAGTTGAAGAGGACGATGATGGAGATGGAGGAGGGACGAGGATGGCGGAGGGGGATGAGGGAGGCCAACGATGGAGGGAGCAGAGGGGAGGAGGGCACAGTTTTTGTGGAGTTGCATAGGGCAAAGTGGATGATGTTGGAGAAGAAACACAAATAACGACCTACAGGAAACGGCAGCTGGCAGGCAGGCAGGCGCGGGGAGAGTTTTTTTCTTCTTCGATGCACAACTTTCCCAACGTTCTAGAAACACTTTCGGTGCTGTGGAATGCCTTCTTTTTCCATTTTTTTCTGGCATATTCTCAACGGCTTGCAGGGAGCGATCCCCTTGGTCCACTACTCAGTGGATGGGGAAAATGAGAATGAATCTTCAGCTGGAACACGGA